GCCCCCCCAAACACACAAACAGTTTAGGAATGCACTGAAATTTCAGTCACTGAAACATTTCTTCCAGAAATTTGGCAGAAAAATCATTTGTGAACAAACTTTAAGCTTGACAACGCTGTTGCTATGGATCCTGGACAGTTGCTGAAGTGCTGTTAGGCCTTTCCTATAGTATCCCAGGTGGTTGCTAAAGTGTTGTTAGGCCACGTCTATGTTATCCCAGGTGACTGATCAGGTTTTGTTAGACCATTACTATTATATCCCAGGTGGTTGTTAAGGTGTTGTTAGGCTATTGCTATCGCACCCCGGGTGGTTGCCAAGGTGTTGTTAGGCCATTACTATTATATCCCACGTGGTTGCTAAGGTGTTGTTAGGCTCTTGGTATGGTGTCCCAGGTGGTTGCTAAGATGTTGTTAGGCCATTACTATTGTATGCAAGATGGTTGTTAAGGTTTTGTTAGGCCATTGCTATCATGTCCCAGGTGGTTGCCAAGGTGTTGTTAGGCCATTGCTATGTTATCCCAGGTGGTTGCTAAGTTTTTTTAGGCAATTACTATCATATCCCAGGTGGTTGCTAAGGTGTTGTTAGGCCATTGCTATGTTATCCTAGGTGGTTGCTAAGGTGTTGTTAGGCCATTGCTTTGTTATCCCAGGTGGTTGCTAAGGTGTTGTTAGGCTCTTGGTATGGTGTCCCAGGTGGTTGCTAAGATGTTGTTAGGCCATTACTATTGTATGCAAGATGATTGCTAAGGTTTTGTTAGGCCATTGCTATCATGTCCCAGGTGGTTGCCAAGGTGTTGTTAGGCCATTGCTATGTTATCCCAGGTGGTTGCTAAGGTGTTGTTAGGCTATTGCTATGTTATCCCAGGTGTTTGCTAAGGTGTTGTTAGGCCCTTCCTATGTTATCCCGGGTGGTTGCTAAGATGTTGTTAGGCCTTTCCTATAGTATCCTGGGTGTTTGCTAAGGTGTTGTTAGGCCATTGCTCTAATATCCCAGGTGGTTGCTAAGGTGTTATTAGGTGATTGCTATGTTATCCCAGGTGGTTGCTAAGGTTTTGTTTGGCCATCGCTATCATATCCCAGGTGGTTGCTAAGGTGTTGTTAGGCCATTGCTTTGTTATCCCAAGTGGCTGCTAAGGTGTTGTTAGGCCATTGCTATGTTATCCCAGGTTGTTGCTAAGGTGTTGTTAGGCCATTGCTATCACATCCCGGGTGGTTGCTAAGGTGTTGTTAGGCCATTGCTATGGTATCCCGCGTGGTTGCTAAGGTGTGTATATATCTGTACATCTGTATATATGAAGAGCACTGTGAGAGGTCCTACATGCATTTTTCTGTATAGCTCAAAAACTGCAACCTGTGAAAACTGAAGTGTATTTTCTTTGGGTTTTTAGTCTGTTTACTGAAAACCATGAATTAAACCGTACTTTAAAACACAAAATAAGCTTTTTTGTTTTTACGCTTTGGGTTTTGGGCAGGAGTTTCCATTTTGCTGCATCACTAATACACACGGACACACAACCACACACCCACCAGGCAGCACTCCTCCAAACACCCCAATTAAGCTAATCATAAATATTCATCCAGAGCGAGAGCAGGGGGATGCAGAGGGAGTTTGGGCCGCGCGCTGCGGCCGTGAAAGATTCCCCGCGGGACAGCATGCCTGCGCAATTAATCCTGCATTACTCCTCACTGCAGCCTCGGCCGCCGTAATTAACTGATCATGAAAGGCCCAATTAATGCATTCCATGCAGCGGCACACCCTGCGGTACCCAACGTCAACTATCCTCAGGCACACAGAGCACTTTCAAAAAAAAGAAAAATAAGATCATGGAAATTTTCACTGAGTGATGTTAGAAGATCTCCACTGAGCGCAGAGTCAAATGTGTCATCTCTCCTAATGACCACCTATCAATACAGTCGTATCAGTTTGTTTGGACCTGATCATACGCAGTCATATAAACCGGGAAAGAAGGTCTGTGTTTAGTGAGCTGGGTTTGTGCTGCCGTTTCTGACTATACAGGTCGCACAATGACATTTTTGCTTGTTCACTCTTTATGTTTTGCTTTGTATCTTTTATGTTCTTAATATTTTGAGATATCTTGAAACACCTTGATTAATAACTGCGTTTGTTATATCAGTTTTCAATGCAAGCTCCAGTTAATACAGCACTTTTCTCAAACCTATGGTCACTTTTCAGAGGCGGGGAAAAAAAAGAAAAGAACACACATCAGTGAGGAGAACAGTTACCAGCGTAACTGATATGGAATTGGGGTGATGTGAGCTGATTCCTCAGAGTGACAGAGGATTCTAGCAGTTCAGTTTTGTAAATACTGGAGAGGGCTGATAGTTTTGTCAGGAACCCCAATGAGACGGGAGCTGCCGTCATCTGAGGGGGATGATATGAAAGCATGGACCAGAGATTCAGTGTCCTTCAAGGAGAGCAGGGGCGAAGGCGAGCGGTACTACGTAGATGGAAAAAAAGCTGTTTTAATATAAGGCTTGAAAGAAAGGACAGGATCAAAAAGTACAACCAGGTTCCAGACTACAGCTGAAGGTCTAACGGTCACCCCATCCAAATTAAGTGTAGAATTTGCAGCAACATACTCAGGGCCAATTAGTAGAATTTCAGTTTTATCAGTGTTTAGTTTTAGAAAGTTACTCTGCATCCATTTTCTGAGGTCTCGAATACAAGACATTAGTGCAGGGGGAGGCAGGTTAGTGATGGCGTTGGTGCGGACGTAGATCTGTATATAATCAGCATAACAATGGAAAAGAAGACCATGACGGCAGATGATCTGACCCAGGGGTTAAATATAGATGATGATGAATAGAGGGCCAAGAACTGAACCCTGGGGGACGCCTTGTGTAACAGCACTGATAGTAGAGTTATGCTTACCCAGGGCAACAAAAAGGAAGCCTATTAGTGATCTAGGACCTGAACCAGCGTCAGTAATGCCAATAGCTGAAAGGCGAGAGATGAGTATGTCATGATTAACGGTGTGAAATGCAGTGATTAAATCTAAAAGGAGCAGAATACTGATAGCACTGGATTCAGTAGACAGGAGGAGATCATATGAGACGTTTCATTAACCCACCGCAGACGTGTACAGCGTTAGTGTAACTCTAAATGAGTTAAGGCTACTGTGAAAGCTCTGATTACGTACAGAAGCTTGGCTGGTTAACGATGCCTACACATGTGAATACAGGGGCAGCCTGCAGAATATAAGTCCAAACTGAAGCCGTGTGAGGAACCAGCACAGTTTAACCCTCTAAACTACAGTTTTAAGAACTCGTTGGAAAGGGCACGTCATGCTCTACTGATCTGTGGAGCCACTTGTTTTTATTCGTGACATCATCAGCGACTAGTCAACGTTGACTCAACTTTCATCACATGTCTGTCCACTTTGAAAAATCTGAAGTTGTGTAACCCCTAGTAGATACTTTGAACTATTCAGTATCTGCTATGAATTATTTAGTATATATTAAGTAACTACAATAAATAAAGAACTATCCATTTCTTAGTAACTACTACGGATTATTCCGTATTATTATTACTCCATAGCTGTATTATTCAGTAATTACTATTAATTATTCAGTACCTACAGGTACTCAATATTTTATAGTTGTTATCATGAATTATTCAGTTGCTTTTATAGTTACGAGTGAATTTAACTCTCTGAATTTAACTTTCTATAGTTTAAAGGGTTAATTACACTGTTCTGGCATTATGGGCTGGTTTTTGACTGAACAACGGTTATGAGTACCACCAACGAGCAGCAACAAACATGTAAAGAACACGGTCTCACTTTATTTGGGTAGTCCCCTATAGATGATCTACAGATATTTATATTATTAAACTTTCTGGTGACACTGATTATCAACAACAATAAAGTTAATAATAGGGTTAGGAGTAAGTGTAGGTTTGGTCTTAGGGTTAGGGTTGAGGTCAGGTTTAGGGTTAGGGACAGATTTAATAGAATGGAGCATTTAATAGATATTTAGTTGAAAGTTAGTTAAAAACAGGCTGAGCATCTACTGTGGACCATCCAAATAAAGTGTTACCATAGAAACTGACCTATCCATGCTCTGCCCACAAAGTTCTTTCCTAGCGACTGGTGCAAGGTTGAAAAAGCTTCACAGAACATTAATAAAACCACATTAAACCTAATTCGTTTAGATTTGGAGTTCAGCTTCCAGTTTCAAAGCTACACTGCTAGGCTGGACTGTGTTGTTGTAGCTAATTAAAGTGAGCCAGGAACAACAACAAATCTGCCACCATGCTAACATTAGCTCAAATACACAACAAATCAAACTGGACCAGATGGATCCTAACCGTGTGACCCTTCACACACATTACAAACACACATAAAGTATAAAAGCAATGCAAAAGAAATAAATATTCCTGAATGCAGCTTCTCTTTAGGCTGAATGGGGCTTTGAATGAGACGTTCTATATGCTTGTCCAACCTAGCAACAGTTGCTATGAAAGGATGCATTAGTGGGCAGAACATGAATAGGTAGACAGGTCAGTTGGATAAATGACCACACTTATCTTTCCCGAGCTCATCAGGTCAGGTACACTCTTAAAAAGGTGGTTCTTCAAGGGTTCTTCAGTAAAGGAAATGGCTCTGTTTAAAACCAAGCGCTCTGTATAGAACCATTTCATGCTTAAATGGTTCTCTGCATGGTGAAATGGTTCAATGGTGTTGTGTATGGTTCTGTATAGCACCAAAAAGAGCTCTGCTATTGTTATGATGCCAGCTTGTAACCATAGAAGAACCTTTTTTGGTGCTATATAGAACCCTTTTCAAAAAGGTCCTATATACAGCACATTCTCCATCAATACGAAAAACCATTTCACCATGCAAAGAGCCTTTTAAGCATGAACTAGTCCTATATAGAACTCATGGTTCTAAATAGAGCCATTGCCTTTACTAAGGAACCCCTGAAGAACCGTCTTTTTTAAATGTGTAGTAACAATCGTGTTTGTGTTGGTAAGGATACAGTCCCGGCCAGGGAACAGGATTTTGTGGCGCACCATTTCTCCCATAATGCACCCGACTGACCAAATATCCACTGCGGGCATGGAGGCAGGAAAAAAGGGGAGAGAGAAAGGGAGAGAGAGAGAGAGAGAGAGAGAGAGAGAGAGAGAGGAGGAGGTTAGCATTAGTACAATTAGTACAAGCATGTCATCAGTGACATTTCTAGTGTGTGAGCTGTGCAGAGCGGCGGTTATTTACTCTGCTGTGTGGAATAATTAGCGACGGCGGTGCGGTTCACACAGGGACTAACGACTGCTCCACTGATTAAAGCAGTGAAACCTCCAGCAGCCACAGAGTGGCAGATAATCCATATTCTGATCCTCCCATACACACACACACTCTCTCTCTCACACACACACACACACACACACACACACTCTCTCTCTCACACACACACACACACACACACACACACACACACTCTCTCACACACACACACACACTCACACACACACACACACACACACTCTCACACACACACACACACACACACACACACACACACACACACACACACACACACACACACTCTCTCTCTCACACACACACACACACACACACACACACACACACACACACACACACACTCACACACACACACACACACACACTCTCTCTCACACACACACACACACACACACACACACACACACACTCTCTCACACACACACACACACACACACACACACACTCTCACACACTCTCTCACACACACACACACACACACACACACACACACACACACACACACTCTCTCTCTCTCACACACACACACACACACACACACACACACACACACACACACACTCTCTCACACACACACACACACACACACACACACACACACTCTCTCTCTCACACACACACACACACACACACTCTCTCACACACACACACACACACACACACACACACATGTGTGAGCACACAGTGTTTGCACAGGCTGAATTAACAGAGTGCATGAGTCATACACACTCAGCACTGCTAGCAACCACCATCTCCAATCTGATCCATTACAAAGCTGAAAGATTTTTCCTCTGTGCAGTAATGAAGTGATGCACTGTGCTTTTCTTGCTTCAGTTCATTTCCATGAGTCAATTTTTTTTATTTTAATCAACACAGTACAGCGTCGTTAGAGTCAAAACAGAGACCCTATTAACATAAAAACTGACATTAATGTTTAATATTAGCCCTTCAACCTGTCTCAGTGTTTGTGTCCGTTTTAAATGCACTTTGGCTGCGTTTACACTTGCATTTTTACATGTCTGGACCTCCGGATATAATCCTGATACTCAAGGCGCATGAAGTGACCAGGTCTTTGACCTGCAGTCAGGCCCCCGTCATTCAATATTTCATTATTATTTGATTCCTGCCAGAAAATAAAAGCTTTACAAAGTGAAAGAGAGCCTATAGCTTGCTGTGGGTTTGTTTACGTTGCTACAGCTACGCCACCATCTCTGAAATGTCCACACAGTCCAGATCATTCCAGCTTTAAAACTGAAATTTGTGCACATTGTTGCAGTGTGTGCTGTGCATTGCCGGCGTAAAGGGTGAGCCAAACTGATTAACCCCGTGACCCGACCAGCCCGGTAACCAGTCAAAAAACATAAGAAAGCTGCTCGTTTAAATATCGGGCCAGAGGAGTTATGTTGGATGCACGTTGCTGTTGGGAACAGTAGAATCATTTTCAGTCATATCAATTTGGGCACATAGAACTGGAGCTTTCTGTGCTCCTATCACTGTGTAGAAGACGGACGAGTCTTCCTTTATTGTTGAATGCACTGTTTTTTGAAAGAACTCATTCAGAGAGATTGCTCTAAAAGGCAGTTTACAACACATGCTGAATAAAATATTTTGGACTTTTTCAGATCATATTCCTTACCTATCAACTAAAACACAACAACAGCACTGAGAAATCATGTGATTAACAGAGAAGGTGGGTTAAATAGCTGAAATAAGCACTTTTTGCTGGAGTTAACACACAATATTTAATTTACAATAAAAAAGAAGAAACAAAAAAAGAAAAAACAACAACGTCGAGGCTAAAGCTGGACTCGCCGACACTAACAATTTCTTACCAAAAGTAAGTAAACTGAAAGACAAACCTGCGCTGATGTGTTTCATTCAGGTGGGAACAGAATTGGATCAGTTAAACGGAAAACATCACCCTGTTCAGTGTAGTTACACATGATGAACAGCTTTAAACACCATCATTCCATTTATTTTCATTTAGACCTGCTTATGCATTCGCGCTCAGCCAAGAGTGTTCAGTGTGAGACGTTTCCACACAATGTATTTTAATGATTTAGTGAAAACACTTCACTTTCAGATAATAACACGTCCGGGGGTTGATCACTGCGGGGCTGCCAACAGGATTTCCCCTCGTTTTTGCCAAAGGCCTTTATGTTGTTTAATGAGGTCGTGATTAATAAAGCACAAAGGTTTATAAAAGCGCTCAGAGGCGATGCATAAAGATGAGGCTGGTAATCAGATTAATTAATATACTTAACTGTCGTTTTCTTGTGGGTGTATATATTACGTACAAAAAAAAGATACATTACTGTCGTGTAAATGTTTTTCATTTTAAATTAGATTTATGCATAATCTCTGTCATAAAAAAACATTCTAACTTTTTACATCGCTGGAAAACGCCAGTGAATACAACGCAAAAATGGTATCTTATCAAGTGAAATTATCTGAAATCCGGTTAATATATCTAATATTTCTCATGCTGAAATTGTTGTAAGCTTATTATAATATAATTTAACTTATTTCTAAAGTTTTTTGCTTTTTTACAATTCTGGTCTTTTTTTAAGCATATTTCTTATGCTTATGTTCTTGGGAACAACGGTGAATTGGAGCGATACAGCCAGTGATAACGCTGAGCGGAGAGCAGGGAAGGGCATTTGGGGGCAGTCGTGGGCTGGAGGTTAAGGATCAGCCTTGTGACCGGAAGGTCGCCGGTTTGATCCCCTGAGCTGACAGTATGTGACTGAAGTGCCCTTGATCAAGGCACCTAACCCCCAACTGCTCCCTGGGTGCTGTGGATAGGGCTGCCCACTGCTCCGGGCAAGTGTGCTCACTGACCCCTAGTGTATGTGTTCACTAATGTGTATCACTGCACAGATGGGTTAAAATGTGGAGGTGAAATTTCCCCATTGTGGGACTGATAAGGGTCACTCAACTAACTTAAAACAAGTAAAATCATCTCTCAATACAGTGAGGCAATTTTGCAGTATAAAATTACTTAAAACGAGTAAAACAAGTCCTAGAATAAGCGTACAGCAGTCTGCACACGACAAATATTAGATATACCAACTATATTTAAGATAATTTCACTTCGCGCTGCAAAAAATAGCAATTTACGATAAATATTTGTTTGAAAAAACAAACCTCTCAAGAGTTCGTAAATTAAATAAACATGTTTTCTTGAATCTCCTCTAAATTACTTTTTGAAGATACAAGATTTTCTTACAACAGCAGTGAAAGAGAACTGAATTTGGAGTGAATCAGTCGTACCGTTCTCCTTGTAGCCCATCCCCAGGATGACCTCAGGGGCCCTGTAGTACCGGGTCACCACATAGGGCGTCATCATGAAGCTGGTTCCGGCGGTCCTCGCCAGCCCGAAGTCCAGAATCTTCAGCGTACAGTCCGACTTCACCACGATATTGCTAGGTTTCAAGTCCTTCAGGAGAAAGGACATTTCAGAGTAAACAGACTCCTTCAGGTCAGTCCAAACAGGCTCCTGTCCATTTTCAATACTGAGTCTGTAACAACTGTCACCTACCGACGCCAGGTTTAAACTAACCAGAGCACTGGCTACTCAGCATACAATGCGTCTGTATTCCTTACCTCACTTTAAAGGGACCAAATGTCCCTGCATTGACTGAAAATCTTCCTAGGGATGTCTCAGTCCAGTTTCCACTCCCCTCAATCGCTTTTGAGTACTTTAGCATTGAGCATCAGCCAATCTGATCTTTGTGTTTTCATGGGTAATACAGCCACATAATTTGGGCCTGTTATGCTAGTCTGCAGGAGAACCGTGATTATCAGAGCGAGGCCTTCAGTTTGGGCCATAAATGTCAAAACTTGATCAAAAACAAGAAAAAAAACTCTAATTCTAAAAACTCTAACTAATTTCTGTTTCAGTTCACATTGAAAAAATCATATCTTAGTGAGTAAAAACATCTGAACTGTAGCCAATTTATCTCATATTCATTATGAGATCTCATTATGAGATTGTTGTTAAAATATTATACAATTGTTTAACTTATTTCTGGACACTTTACTCACGTTTTAAGTCATTTTATCTTATGGAAGTGTTTTACTCCATTGGCAGATCATTTCAAATATTATTTCTTAAAATAAGCTAAATTACCTGCCAATAGAACAGGACACTTTCACCAGATAAAATTACTTAAAACAAGTAAAATGTCTAGAAATACGTTCAGTAATCTAATAATATTCTTATAATCTCATAATGAGAAATCTAAAATATTTTGATTCAAGTTTTTTTTCACTTGCTAAGGTATCCTCTTTTGCGGTGCAGGGGATTCTGGTAGTATGCTGACGCTAAGCTAACAGCATTTCACATGAGCATATTTTGGCGGTTCTAGATTAAACACAGACATGTGAAACTCATTCCATGAGTTTAATCTGAAGTTTGTAACAGACATTATCATGTCCACCGATTGTTTCTTTACATTCTGACCACCTCCTTGTTTCTACACTCATTGTCCATTTTATCAGCTCCACTTACTGTATAGGTGCACTTTGTAGTTCTACAGTTACAGACTGTAGTCCATCTGTTTCTCTGATACTTTGTTAGCCCCCTTTTACCCTGTTCTTCAGTGGTCAGGACCCCCATGGACCCTCACAGAGCAGGTACTATTTGGGTGGTGGATCATTCTCAGCACTGCAGTAACACTGACGTGGTGGTGGTGTGTTAGTGTGTGTTGTGCTGGTCTGAGTGGATCAGACACAGCAGTGCTGCTGGAGTTTTTAAACACCTCAGTGTCACTGCTGGACTGAGAATAGTCCACCAACCAAAAACCAAAACTTAACAAGGAAATTTTAGTATTTCTTTAGTACTGATAGGGTTTAAATACAACAAGTGTGATTATTATTTTAAATTAAATTCAACTAAAATTTAGGCCTAGAAGAACCACTAAAAGGACCACTGATGATCTGCTACAGTGCACTTTATTTTCACGTTTATAATGTGACTTTTCGTAATATTGACTTATGATTGACTCTGATTCACCAGCTTAAGAATTTGGCTACCAGTTACTTTGAAGTTCTGCATTGAAATCACTTTATTGTGGTATGTGCAGAGCAGCACACTCTAATCTGACTTCTTCTTTTTTGCTGTTGGCTACTTATGTAAAATAACCATTTTATAGTGTAGTGAATACACTATGGTTGCTCTAACAGTGACCTGCTCCTTTCTTTCAGTGTTGAAAGAGCTATTTCGGTTAATGGTGGTTAAAACCAGAATGGCTTTCAGTCGGTAAAGAGGAACGTTTTCATGATGGTTTTGTTTTCCGTTTCTTTTTTTCCTCTGTGTTGTGTTTGGCTGAACGTCTGCGTTTTGAGGTTGGTGCTGAAAGGATAATTGACCACTCGGCCTTTCTGTGTGGAGTGATAGATTGACGGCAGCATTTATGTAAAAAAACAGCATCCAGGCCTTTTTGTGTCGGCAGCTTTTACCAAACTTTGGCTCTATTTGTCTGTTATACTCTGTTTAGATGTAACTGAGTAACTGAGTTTGCAAAGCAGCCTGTTTGTTGTGCACGTACTGTTTTACTACTGTGTTATTTTGGGCCGTCGTTCTCCCTGAAGCCGTAACTCCTGCTGCTTCGTGTTCCACGCGAATGCTCCCTAATAAATAACGCGCCTTGGGAAAAGCTGCTGCCCTTTTTTATTTTAATTTGTTTCTTGTTTTTTGTGGTTTCAGGTCTGGCGGCTGAGTGAGAGCCTCCTTCTTCCTTAATGGAGTGTAGAGAACGTCATACTCACCCTGTGGATGATGCCAGCGGAGTGTAAGTGTTTGATGCCACACAGCATCTGGTAGAGCAGGTAGGACATCCTCTCATGGTCCAGCTCCATCTGAATCACCTGGCACAGGTTAGCATCCATCAGCTCCATCACCAGATACCTTCACCGCAGAGAGACAGACAGACAGAGAGATAGATTGTTTATTAACCCTCTGTGGACATTTTCTTGATGTGTTCATCTCCTCTTAAACTCTCCTTTAAAGGCTCTTCATATATCATGATCCTCATATGTTTCATATCTAAATGCTCCGTTATCTTCATCACTACTTTCCAAAACCGCTGCAGCAGCTTCAGCAGCTGTAAACTCTCTGCACGCCGTTTCACATGAGTGTCCGATGTGGACTGAATGAAGAATGAAGGGTTTCCGGCGTGATGGTCAGTCCTTAGTGATTTCCTGAGTGTCCCTTGGTCAGTTTCACACAAAAGGTCCCAAAAGCCAACTTAATAAGTAAAAAGCTCTGCTATGAGTAGCTGTGTCCAAACATTTCACCGGTACTGGACACTTCAACAGTTATTTCTACTCTAACTGCACTGGCTTTATTAGACTGCTGTGGTTTTATCTTCTCCTGCTGCTGCACCACTTCATTCACGTCTTTATCTGGGCACAAAGAGACAGCTGTCGATCGATGAGGATCTTTACATCCTCTTATGCTGAGAATGGAGCCATTGATTAATGATTGTGAGTCAGTCAGCAATAACACTGAGGAGCCAGTGCCTGGTCTCCTTCAGGTCCTTTAATATTGATCATAAGCACAATATACTGTATATAGCAGAGGGGAACCCTCAGGGTCAGCCTTCATTTACATAACTTTTCAGGAGCCTCACTTTCAGTTCCTCAAAGAATCTGCAGACACTCCTCCACAGTTCAGTCTGAGAAGCTGGTTGATGATTTTCTGAAGTAATCAAACACATTCAGTGGTGTTGAGGTCTGGACTCTGGGGTGGTCAGTCCATTGTTCAGCTTCTTTCTTTGATGTCTCCTTTTGTGCTGTTTATCTGATATCTTTAAAAAAAAACAGTTTTGGAAACACTTCCTTTGGTTTTCTCTCTCCTTATGCAAGTGAATTACCTTATTTTTCAAATTTCCTCCATAATTAATTGGTTAAGATGTAAACAGAGTCATTTAGAGTGGTTTGGTGTGAAACGCTCTGTTCTAGATAAACTTACAGAGTCAGAACTGTTCACAGTGGTGGTGATAGGAACCAGACGTCCCCCTCTAAAAGCTCCCTCACAGAAAGTTCCTACATGAAATGGTTATGAATTCACTGCCTGATGACTGAGACACTGTTTTATGATAGTTTAGAGAACTTAAACTCCATTCATGGTGGAGGGATACATGCAGGGCGCTGTGAGGCAAAATAGTCCCCAAAGAAAACTTATTATTTCAGATTTTCCACTATTTTCCATCATCAACATTCCATATAAACTCAGAAGACTCGTGTAGGTTCACTGGTGGTTCTGGATAGTAAATAAAATGTCTATATTTGTGTTGTAGTCATGGTGACCCCTGGTTCCTATCACCACCACTGTAAAGACATCTGAACCATTTCATACCAAACCACTCTGAATCTCTCTGATTACATCTCAGACTCTGAATTAAGGAGAAATCAGGAAAAACAGAAGGAATCTCCCTGTATGGATTTGTTTGTATAATCTGTATGAGTCCCTGTTTGTGTGTTGCAGTCAGTCGTGTTGTGTGAGTTAAAGCTCCGTGCCGCTCCATCTCCTCTGTGTGAGGCAGCGTTTTATAACCAACGCCAATCGATCCTCCTCCTGATTAAGTCTGTGAGGAATAAATTAGTGCAGCAGTGTCACCGCACAGCGACACACACACACACACACACACACACACACTCACACACACACACACACACACACACACTCGCACACTCACAGACTGTCACAGTAAACACTCACTGAAACACACACGCCTGCAGGCTAACAACTGTTTTCACATCTGAACAGTCAGTGCTGTTTGTCCATGTAGGTTCCACCCCAATCAGCTACAGCACGTGTGAGGTGTGAGGTATGAGTGGAACTGGTGAAAGGTCTTCAGCGTGACTCAGTTCAGCACCTCATGGTGCAGACTGGGTAACATTACAGGGCAAACGCGCTTTCAGATGCTTCACATTCATCTTCATGATGATATTGATGATAGAATAAATACTCCCCAGTATGTTCCCCAAAGTTCTAGATATTAACTGGGTAAGTATGCAGGAGAATCTCCAAAATACTAGATAATTATTTTGGGTAACCTGATGGTGAATTCCAACACAGTTAATCTAAATTGCACAGAAATGCCCAACAGGTTCTAGATATTAACTGTGTAAGAGCATGGAACAATCTCTAAAATTCCCAACAGGCTCTAGATATTACCTTGGCAAGTGTGCGGAAAAAGCTCCAAAAAATTATTCTGGGTAACCTGATGGTGAATTCCAAGACAATTTATTGAAACTGCACTGCAATGCTCAACATGGTCTAGATATTAAATGGGTAAGTGTGTGGAACAATCTCCAAAGTACTAGATAATTATTTTGAGTAACACAACGGTGAATTCAAAGAGAGTCCTACTAAATTGCACTGAAATTCCCAACAGCTTCTAGATATTAATTGGGTAGTTGTGTGGAACAAACTCTAAAGGACTAGATAATTATTTTGGGTAACCTGATGGTAAATTCCAATACAGTTAATCTAAATTACACAGAAATGCCCAACACGTTCTAGATATTAATTGGGTAGTTGTGTGGAACAATCTCCAAAGTACTAGATAATTATTTTGGGTAACATGATGGTGAATCCCAAGACAGACTTTCAGCGACTGCTGAAAGTCGGTGAACAGTGGAGAAAACTGTGCTGTGTAATTTATTTTAGTCCTGTGGAAATGATGGACAGTAAAGTCCAGTAAAGTCAGTGCCCTGTTCTCAGTGTGTTCCGAGCGCAGTGTTCTCACAGCCGCATCGATCAGTTCCAACTCCGGCCTTCAGTTCATCGTTTAAAACATGAAGGACAAACACAGCACCAAATTACTGCGGGCCAGCAGACCCACAATGCTCTTAAAAAGACAGTACTTCAAGGGTTCTTTAGTAAAGGGAACAATTTCTATATGGAACCAGTTCTTTGCATGGTGAAATGGTTCTTCAGACTGATGGAGAATGTGCTGTATATGGTTCTATATAGCACCAAAAAGGGTACTTCTACTGTTACACTGTTAAGCTTGTTACATTATGAGAACCCTTTTTGGTGCTATATAGAAACCTTTTCAAAAAGGTTCTATACAGAACCATACACAACACCATTTAAGCATGCAAATGGTTCTAAATAGAAGCATCACCCATACCAAAGAACCTTTGAAGAAGAGTGCACACCTTTTGGAAAAAGGGTTCTCTATAGCACCAAAGTTAACATTGTAACAACAGCAGAACCTTATTTGGTTCACACATTATCAGTCACACCCTCATACCATGAATGCGTAAAGGGTTCTTTGCATGGTTAATAGTTCAATCAATAGTTCTTCAGATTGAGGGCTAGTGTGTGAACCAAAAAAAGGTTCTGTTGTTATGATGTCAACCCTGTATACAATAGCAGAACCCCTTTTTGGTGCAATAGAGGAATCTTGCAAAAGGGTACTATATAGAACCATGTCTGAAGAACCGTTTCACCATGCAAAGAACCATTTAAGCATGAAAAGGTACTTTTGAGTGTTTATGGTTCTGTGTAGAACCATTCTCTTTACTAAAGAACCTTTGACAAAACATCTTTTTAAGCTGTTAAGCTTTTTATTCTGTCAAGTTTGTCAGTTTTTCATGTTTATACATTTTTGCTGTTTTTGCAAATTCCAGTAGCAAAAGTTCAGTTTTGTTGATTTTCTAAGTGAAAGTAAGTTAACATTACAGGGAACAGACTTAGATATGCTATATATATATAATACTTAGAGTTTAATATACTGAAAAAGCCCATATTTATGTTTTATTTTTGTATTTTCCAATATCTTAAGCTCTTATGCTCTGTACAGGACATGTTGACTTATTTTCAGTTTGAAAATTAATAAAATGCATAATCTGCTGGCGACCAACTACAGACTGGACACTCACATCAATCACCACATCTACAGACGCTACAGAGTCAGAGTCGCGTCGTCTGTTCTGCTGGGAATGATGAAGAAGATGGAGCTAAAAGCCGTCACTTCAAGCCTAAACCTTCCAATAAAAGACTGTGTAGCTCAGAAAGTTTAACCAGTTTTTAGTTTAATAACGGCCACAAATCATATAATTAATGTAATAAAGTGTGAAGTGCGTTGTCCAGGGACACAGGAAGTGGGGGTGCTGAGGGGGCGCTGATTTTAGGATTGCAACTGTTCAAAGTAATGATAGTAATGTTGCGTATAGAGCTACATGAGCCTGTTTCAGAGCGGAGTTTGTATTTTTATATTTTAAAAATCTGCAGTAGCTGCACTGTTTAAGTGAACACCACATTTTTATTACAGTGAGCTGAAAACTGACCACTTTGTGATGCGTCGCTCAAACACACACAGGCTGACGTGCAAAGAGAGAGAGAGTCTGTACAGCGGTATAGGCCAGTTCTGAACCATAAAGCAGCTGTATTTAACAGAATAATAACGTTTAATCCAGCGTTGTAGCTCCAGCTCAGTATTCAGTCTCACTGTTTGTTGATGTGACACAGGCCTAATCGGTTACCGTGCCACATAACACTCTGATTGGTCGCCAGTCAGTTCATTTACATAAAGTTCGTCCAGAATGAGAGAGCAGAGAGGTGATGAGTGGATGATTATGCTGTTCAGGAAATAAATGTATTCTTTTAGATTAAAATGTTTAAGCATTTATAAACTATGATTTTACCCTAATGCTCCAACTTAACCCACTCATTTTGGACTCGCTCGGGAGCGCCCTCTAGCGTTTGAGAATTCTCCTCTCACATGCTCTGCTAACGCTGTATATGAGCGGAGCTGGTGTGGAAATCTGAGGAAGTGAATCTGGATACTTACACATCCTGAAATTCCTCTAAAGATTTCTGTGGTGTGAAAACGTTTAATAAGCTGATGATCTGAAAGACAAAAGACAAACGAGAGCAGAGTCAGTTTAACAATGTGAGAAGGAAAAACAGCCTGCAAGACCCAAAAACTACACTACCCAGCTTCACTCACAAGCTTATTCCCCATAATCCCTCACTTCACTGCTGCTCTGTTCAGAGAGAGAGAGAACAGAGCGGAGTGACACCGATCAAGGACACTGCTGATTCATACGAGAGAGAGGGAGAGAGCAAGGGGTGAGAATAAAGAGAGTGAGAGAGAGAGAAAGGAAGAGAGAGCAAGAGAAAAAGAGAGCAAACAGAGCAAGAAAGTGAGAGTGAGAGAAAGGGAAAGAGAGCAAGAGAGATGGAGGGATGCAGGGAGAGAGAAAACAAGAAAAGGGAGAAAAGGAAAAAGGGGAAGGAAGGTAAAGAGAGTGATACAGAAGGGAGGAAGAGAAAATGAGAGCGAGAGAGAAGGGAAGAGAGAATAAGAGAGAGAGGGAGGGATGAGAAACAGAACCAAAGAGAATGAAAGAAAGAATGAGACACAGGAAAAAGGAGGGGATGAGATAGAAAGGGAACAAAAAGAAAGCGAGAAACGACAGCAAAAGAGAAGGAGAGAGAGACAGAGAGAGAGACAGAGAGAGAGACAGAGAGAGAGACAGAGTATTACAGCACTGTGAGAATTAGGATCCATGCAAAATCTACAAAATTGCTTAGAAGCTTCCAATGCCCCCCCTCTTCCCCCATCTCTCTCTCTCTCCCTCTCTCTCTCTCTCTCTCTCTCTCTCCCTCTCTCTCTCTCTCTCTCCCTCTCTCTCCCTCTCTCCCTCTCTCTCTCAGTGCCTAAGGCTTGGCTCTGCTGCTGGCTGGCCGCGCTGTTGTTTTCATGCTCCTGTTTACAGAGAAAAGAGCGTGAAAACTGAGGAAGCATCTGCTAATCTACCAATTAATCTACCCGTCTAAACACCATCACCCTGTGCGCATGCTCTGTCATCTGGTTGCGGCGTGGAGGGACCCAGGGTCACACTGTCTGTGCCAGTACATATAAAAACAGGAAATCTGGTGCAAATATGATGTTTTTACAGTAGATAAAAGGCCTGTGTGATGAGAACAGAGCCACACAGCGTGGAAAACCTCTGTTTGCAGTATTTTTGTTACCGTAAATTAGATTTACTGCCCTGAGAGCCACGAGACCAGAACGGGTTTCATGTCAGGAAAACACAGAATGTCATGCTGCGCTGGTTTCAGAGTGGGAGCAGAAGGGTGGTGTTTGTTGGAGAATGACGGTGTCTGTTGGAGAATGTTGGTGATGGAGAATGATGGTGTTCGTTGGAGGACAATGGTGTTCCCTGGACATTGATGGTGTTTGTTGGAGAATGTTGGTGTTTGTTGGAGAATGCTGGTGGTGGAGAATGATGATGTTTCTTGGACGACGATGATGTTTGTCAGAAAATGTTGGTGTTTAGTGGAAAATTACGGTGTTTGTTGGAGAATGGTGGTGTTTGTTGGAGAATGGTGGTGTTTGTTGGAGAGTGTTGGTGTTTAGTGGAGAATGTTGGTGTTTAGTGGAGAATGATGGTGTTTAGTGGAGAATGTTGGTGTTTAGTGGGGAATGTTGGTGTTTAGTGGAGAATGTTGGTGTTTAGTGGGGAATGTTGGTGTTTAGTGAAGAATGGTGGTGTTTGTTGGAGAATGGTGGTGTTTAGTGACGAATGATGGTGTTTGTTGGAGAATGATGGTGGAAAATGATGGTTTTGGAGAATTTTGGTGTTGGAGAATTTTGGTGTTTGCTGGATATAATGTTAGGTTTTCTCAATGAATGATGGTGTTTGTTCGAGCATGCTGGTGTTTGGTGGAGGGTGTTGGTTTGGGGGGAGGTGGGGTCATAAGTACCCAAAACATGCCCTTTACTCACGTTTTTGTGATTGACACACTTCATAAGCACCAGCTCTCTGTAAGCTCGCTTGGCGTGAGTCTGGTTCTGGAAGGGTCTGCTGAGCTTCTTAATAGCCACATTTCTGTCCAGGACGGCATCGTATCCCGCACTGCACACACACAAGGAAGAGAGAGACCTTACAGCAACAACAGGACAACAGAAACAGCTCAGCAGTGACAGATTCACACAGAGGAAACCACGAGGGTGTAAAGGCACAGATGAGCGTCTGATCCTAAAGGCCATTCTGGACTCGAATTCGATGAAGGTGATTGGTGCAGAATGATGGTATAGAACATTGTGTCTGTGTTCAGTATATGAGAAAAGGCACGCGAGGTTAAACAGAGTGCAGGAATGAATATAAAGCTCAGCGTGACGGCAGCGAAGGGCATTAAGGAGAACGTGTTTTTAGCCTTGATGGACGGGAGAATATTAGAGTTCACTGGAAAAAGCTTTTAAATCCTCCTTCAACCATTAAAAACAAACACCGCGATATTTAACGGCGGGGTTTTTCCTCTGAGGCTGTGATGAGGGACTCAGTGAACGTACTACTGTAATTTCACAACAAAGCACGCAACAAAACACAGCTGGTCTCAGCCACTTCCTGTGAGTCTCCCAGGACGATGGGACATTAAACGCAGACGTCTGTGGTGGTCACCTGGGGATCGAGCGGGGGCCTGAAAAAGCAGAGTTACTGTGTGAGTGAGTGTGGGCTCTACATTAAGCCGTGCAGATCCTCTCAGTCTCTCCTCCCTAAAGGGACGGCGCTGCTCATGTGACTTCCCATCATCTTCATTCCTTTTTTAAATCACCAGTTCCTCTGCCAGTACGGTGGCCTACAGGGGCCAATGACACGTTACTGCATCTTACTAACAAATGGTTCCCTTCAGTTTGATAGAGAGGCGGGACAGCAGCGGCACTGCCCAGTGCCAACAGCACTACAGGGCAGAGACTGCTGACTCATCACTCTCCAACTTCCGCAGAGGTGTGCTGTACCTGCGGGTGATCACTGGTGTCTCTAGAATGTTCTCCTCCCATTCACACTGCAATTGGCTTATTAGATCTCTTTTAACAAACCGCAAGGTTTCAGTCAGGTGACTTTTCTGTTGTGGTCAGCATTTTTGGGACCACATTTCTGGCTTCGCTGCTCCACACGAGCGTAACTAGAGGTGAAAGACGGTTAAAATTACTCTCCTTACTGTGCAAGAGAAAAACGTTACCTCGACAAAGTCGACAAAATAGGCTGCGATCCACTCAAACTGGCAGAAGGTTACATTTATATTGATCTCATACTCAGCCCCTCTCCCTAATCTGGAGAGTCTCTCAAAGCACAGAAGCCCACCGGCTCCTCACGGCAGGGTGGGTAAAGGATCCCATAGTGTTCATAAAGAGGAGATACACTCTGTCATCATAGGAGGGTAACGACATCAGCTGATTAACACAGATGAGATCAATGCTGGCCTTTAGATAACTTTAGCTGATGTTACCAGCCGAGAGATGAACAGTCGCCCCCTAGCGGAGCTGCAGACAGCCGGTATAACTTCACTCTCTGTTTCTGATTTAAATGACGTTTGAATGGAGAAACATAATCGTTAAATATCAGACTGAATGTTGTGGGTCGGAAAACGACGTTGTGTTTCGACAGACGTGATTCTGTAAGTTTGCTAGTTCAGTTAGTTCAGAGTTCAGCTCCAGTCCTGAAACCCCTGCACTGCAGAACTGTGGTTTCCTGGTTAAAATACCTGATATTATTAGCTAATTAATCCCTTCTGGAGCTGAACGAGGTGAACAGCAGTGAAACACTAAACTGTACAGTGCAGCGGCTCCAAGCCTGGAGAGAAAACACTGAATTAAAGGTCTGTGTGTCTCTCGGCTTCTGTCGCGTCTTACAGGTGAATCATTCAAAAAGCACAGCAGATTGAAGGCGTCGTGCAGCGCAGTCACTCCCTGATTCGGCCCTCAAAATGGTGGTGACTATACAGTGTGACATCACACGAAACGCAAGAATAGGCTTCACAGTTCACATTGGAGCTTACAATATTTGGCCAAACTCAAGGGGACCTGAATGTTCACGTTCAGGGTTTGGTCGAGTTGGGATCATTTTTCAGATATTTGTTGGTGATCCAGGCTTCACTCACATTCAGACAGAATTCTGCCGGGTTACAGTCGGAATTGGATAGAATTGTATTGGGCTACAGTTGGGATCAGACAGGTTTCAGTCGTTTGGGTCAGGTTTGGAACAAAATTCCAGACCTCTACAGCTTTAATTGGGAGTCTGTAGACATTACCTCCCATTCTTTGCTCATCCTGTGGAGAAATTTATCATAACTTACATTTGATAAGTTACTGCAGTGTACAGTCTTGCTTTGTTATGCATTTGTCATCTGCTGGTAATAAAGAATGTAAGTCAAATGTAAACGTAACTGTGTATGTAATTACATTGAAATTGCATCAACAATAATAAAACTGGCCTTGTAAGTGTTAATAGGGCTGATGTGACTTCATACACTATATGAGCAAGCCTGGTCTGTGTAACCCTCTATTGCAGGGTGTCGCCATATGGCAACAAGTACTTTATCTCAATTTTACTAAAAGGCAGTCAAATAAAATTCATGATTTTCTGTTTAATTGTGGAAAAAATGTCTTTTACTTTGAAAGGACAGATACTTGATGATATCATATGACCAGGAAATAATTTTTGCACTTTTTTTTTCTATGGACACTGAGAAGGTCATGACCTGAGGGCTTCCCAGGTTGACTAACTGTTCAATATATAGACTTATTACTTAAAAGAAATACTATCTGGGGTAAGTTAACTCAATGAATTAACTTAGTTTTCATCATTTAAACCAGTTTAGATTAATCAATCTTTTGTAAAATGGTAAAATGAATTTGCTGCCATATGGCTCCTATATGCGAAAACGGAAGTGATCTGTGTACATTTAACCTACTGGACTGAAATTGACTTACACAGCACTAGGCTACTCTGAGACATTTACAACTTTTGATTACATTTGAAAGATAAAACACATGATTTTATTTATATTTTGTAATTTCAGACTGATTTCAGAATTTTGTAACTGTAACATATTATCTGGAATATAAATTACAACCACTGAAAATCAGAACAAATTGCGATATCCCAACTAAAAATACGTTGGTTCACTTTTGTGTACATTTATAGGAAATAAATTTGTTTTTGATCAGAAAAATTAAAAGAACGTATCCAATTATATGCATAAGTAATTTATGTATCTTATTACGATGTGTGTATTATTACTATACATTCCAAATAACAAATTATTATTATTATTATTATTATTAACTGTGTAAACATTTCACTAAGTATGAGTTTTGTTTGTAATTTGTTTTGTTTTCAATTAAATTCGCTACATTTTTTGAGGAAAAATTGGATTTTATGGTACTCTTCATAGTTGTGCATTGTTACCATATGGCAACAACTTACCTACAAGTTTTTTCTTTTCGAATATTTCTATTATTTAAGCTATTTAACATAATAAAAACACATTAAGCTCACACACTGAGCTATCACGCTATATAAGCAAGCCTGGCCTTTGCAGTGTAACTGTGAGTGACTGATATGCAGTGTATAATCCTGCTGACGGAGGACCAGGTGCCTGGACTGGAATGGTCTTGTTGAGGGCTGTCGAGCCGCATGACACACTAAAGAGGTGTTTCTGAAAGCAGTGCTGAGGTTAAAACCAGCAGAAAGACCTTTTAGGCTAAAGAACATCTGTCTCTGCTCCGGTCCGGACTCACGGCTGGAGAGAGGTGACATTAAAGCCGGCGGTTAGGAAAGAACATTACTGATGAATTCATTCCTTCGGTGACCTTTGTTTAGAGACTGCTCGCCTCCAACACGTCCAAACAGCTTGTTCTACAGCAAAAAAGTCAGGGTCACTTACTAGTCTGTTAACGGCTAATGGGTGTTCTTTGGCTTACTGAGTGTTTTTCTACTGTCGTGCAGCGTTTCGTCAGCCATTGTTATGTCTGGCTGGTACAGTATGTACAGCTTTACTGAGAAAAATCAATCTTAGTCTAATTGCTTTTGTTCAAAGACGAACCAGACTTCCATTATTGGGTATGTCTGTGCTGTCACTCCTATACATGCACACACCAACCAGCATTAAAATACCATATAACCATAACATTAAAATACTGACCGTATAGTTTCACTCTGTAGTTCTGCACTTACAGACTGTAGTCCATCTGTTTCTCTGCATACTTTGTTACCCTGTTCTTCAGTGGTCAGGACCCCCATGGACCCTCACAGAGCAGGTACTATTTGGGTGGTGGGTCATTCTCAGCACTGCAGTAACACTGACATGGTGGTGATGTGTTAGTGTGTGTTGCGCTGGTCTGAGTGGATCAGACACAGCAGTGCTGCTGGAGTTTTTAAACCCCTCAGTGTCACTGCTGGACTGAGAATAGTCCACCAACCAAAAATATCCAGCCAACAGCGTCCTGTGGGCAGCGTCCTGTGACCACTGATGAAGGACTAGAGGATGACCAACACAAACTGTGCAGCAGCAGATGAGCTATCGTCTCTGACTTCACATCTACAAGGTGGACTGACAAGGTAGGAGTGTCTAATAGAGTGGACAGTGAGTGGACACTCCAGCAGCACTGCTGAATTGGGTTTGTATCAGGGTTAAAGTGCCTTAAATATGAGTAAAGCTGGAACCTAACTGAGTATAGACTACTGAGGTGCTAACTTGGCACTGCTTAACTCAGAAGAAGAAAAAGCAGAATTATGCTCTGGTTTCTGAGACAATACTTTCCACAACACTAAAAACCAGGTTAAAACTAAACTAACCCACAACTCAGCTGACATTTGAAAACCAAAGTAAAAAAAAGGAATAAATAAAAATAAAACCTAATGACTTGAGAGGACTTAACAACAGTGTAAAGCAACTGAGACAAGCTTCCATTACTTGTTAGCGACATTAGCCTCGTAGCTTCAGTGCTAAAACTAAATAAGCAAACTTCAGACGCCAAACATGTCTCGGCTGATAAACTACATTTGGGGTAAGAAAGAAAAATAGCGTCAGTTATTTTGCCTTTAAGGTCAGAATCCAGGTAGAAGGAGCT